CCTGCAGCCAAGGACGGGATCTCTCTCTCTCTTGCAGTTCCTGACAGAGCTTACCAGACTCTTTCAAAAGTGCAGGACTTCGGGGAGCGTTTTCATAACGCTGAAGAAATGTAAGTTTTAATTACTGGGTTAAATAGGTGTTCGTCTAAATCAAACGTACGGTGTTGTTTGCATGTATTCAGAGTATCTGAAAACGAGAGTAGTCATAGGGACAAATCAATCAGCTGCAGTACTAATAGCCTTGAAGTAAGACTGTGTTTCAAACTGCGTATTGGAAATACTGGGACTTTCCAATTGCTAAACAATAATTGGAGAATCTGCAGATTTCTATAAAAGGAGAATTATAGTGTTGCTTTAGTGTGTTTTTTGTTTCTGTGGTTTCTGGCTAGCTGGGACTACTTGAGAAGTCAAGTGTCCTAGGCTGCAGTTTGACATGTGTTTAAAATATAACTGCTGCTGAAGCAGGCAGTTCATGCAGCATGTAAGGGGAAGGATTACATTTTTTTCCTGGCAGATGTAGTTTATGGAACAGATCCTTCTGGGACTACAGGGGAAGGTGTCTCTGAACAATTTGGCAGCAATGTCAGTTCAGATGGCCATACATTCCAAGGTGTTTCACAGATCTCTTCATGAGCAATTTTTAACATCTCGTGTCAGGAGGCATCTAGTGATTTTACTGAAATATGAATAAACATTCTCTGTTTTTCCATTCAGATGATGGTCGAACAAAACCAGTCCCACGCAAAGGCCATGCAGAAAGTTTTGAACCAGCAGACAATAAGTGTCTTCTAAGAGCAACTGATGGAAAGAAGAAAATTAGCACAGTGGTAAGTGACAACTTTGTGTTAGAAAGATTAGTGGCCCTACTTGTCTTTTGTTTAATGCCCCATATTTTAAGTTAAATTTGTCTTTACATGAATTTCTTGAGAACTACCCTTTTAATTTAACACATGGTAGCTAAACACGCAGCTGAAATTGGGATACTGAAGCGTTACACTTAACCTGAAGTCTTAGCAATGCTTACACTCAGCGTTACAGATGGGGTAACGCATTAGTTGCACTCTGTATACTGGACTTTGTTTCAGAATGGTATTGCAGGACAGCAAAAAGGGACCCTGCTTGTTTTAAGCAACCGTGGTTGTTGTGTTCCAAGTCAGGTGAAATTGTTTGGAGGGGAGAGCAGAACTGCTTCTAAGAGGCATGGGCGGAAGGACGCAGGGCAGATACGGAAGCTGCAGTACGAGGACAAATGGTGTGGCTCCAAGGAGAAGAAAGGTCCTGCACACCTACAGTCAAGCCACAGGTGGCCAATAGGTAGATTCCTATAGTCCTGATGGAATTGCTGAAGGTTCTTGAAACCAGCCAAGAACTGAATGTTCCCAGACTGTGAAACAGTAGGAAAGGGATCCTTGTTTCCAGTCAAGAACATGTAGGCATGGGTAGACTCTCCTAAGCCTTAATCTTGCTTAGCACACCTATTTTTTTTTCCCTCATTTACAGAGCTATTTGTATTTCAGGAAATGTTAACTAGAAGTTGAAAACCTGATATGTGTTTCCTTTGAATGAGAGATTGGGAAAGGCTTTAGCTGACTTTAGCTCTTCTCTGTGATGTAACCCAAGGAAAAATGTTACTTTCAGAAATAGCTGAGAGAATCTGGGCTGCAACATACTTTTAGGGCCCTACAGGTAAATAAAACCTTCCTTAGAATGTTTATTCACATTCTTCCCCATTGAAAACACATGGATTTGGGAAGAATGGCCTCCAGAGGCTATTATTAATAAAGTAGGAGTGTTTTTCACTTTTCTAAATCGGTGAAGTCCTATGACATGTCAGTGCAGCCTACGTACCACTGAACGTGAGGAGTTGATCCAACTGCTGCTAAAAAGACTAGATGGTCACTGTTGGGTAAACATGTACTGGTACTTGGTTTGTTGTGGAAACCAGTGTTTTCTTGGTTAACCTCCACTATTACTCTTGCAGGTTAGCTCAAAGGAAGTAAATAAATTCCAGATGGTAAGTTTTGTGTGCCTTTTATCTTCCTCTTCTGTAGGTAGTGGGGAGAGGCCAGTAGGAAGCACTGGACAGCTGTGGACGGGTTGATTCAGTGCTGAACTGGCATGCAGATTAACCTTAGACTATTAATCTATTTGTTTTAAAACATATATTGTTTTAAAAAATGAAATCCCATTTTATTTTCTTTCTGCATTGATTTAGAAACAATAGTTTCCCAGTGTAGGGTGTAAGAGCATGATCCTCTAACTAACTTGAGGAAATGCAGATACCTATCCATGAGCAATATGTAAAATTTTACCTCTAGTATATTGTCACTTAAATGTTTGTTTATATAATGGCTCTGATTGTTGTTTCAGGCATATTCAAATTTGCTGAGAGCTAACATGGATGGCTTGAAGAAAAAAGACAAGAAAAGCAAAAACAAGAAGAGTAAAGCAACACAGTGATGGAACAGTGTCCTACCATCACTGTAACAGACTTGACCCTTGCTCAAAGCAAAGTCCATTTCTTTTTGAGTTACCACTTGTCTTTGGCTTCCCTTCCAGCAGGATACTGAGATGCAATCAGTACTGAGAGCAGAAGGTGCTTTCTATGGATTGTTGTATGGCAGGAGTATTTACAGGGTTATACTGAAGTAGCTTTACACTCAGTTGCCAACTAGTTTTGTACTTACACTGCTGTTTGGTTTGTATTATACAAGTGGGCAGTGTAAAACCTGTCTGGAGGTGACACATGGTGAAGTGCACTGTACCATGAGCAAAGTGAGATTGGAGCAGGAGTCTCAGTGACAGATGCCCAGTTTGTAGATAAGCCTCAGCAGTACTAGGGAAAGTGGGTGCCAACATATCAGAAACAGCAGCTTTCCTATTTCTGTCTTGTTTTGAGTGATGTGTCTACATGATGCAGTGCAGATACCCCTAAGGCAGCCAGCACAATGCTTGAGCTCTTTGCAGAGCCAGGCAGCTGTGCCTTTGCTCCGTGCTGATCCAACTGTGCCCACCCTGGCTTAGGGTGGGGGGAAGGCAGGACTCTGCATCATGTTCCCTTCAGGCATGGCTTAAAAATGCTCATGTCACCTGAACTTTTTTTAAAACTTCATCCTTCAGTATATTCAGGGATCTGAATTTGCCCATACTTCCCATCTTAAAGTAGCTCCTTCATATGAGCAGCTGTAAAAGGTGAATACTTAATTGTTCCTATTAAACACAATAAGAAATGGATTTTGTTGTAATGACTGATGTGACTTGTCTTGGTGAATTGCTAGGAACGGTACTGTTATCTGCATCTTTACACCTGACTTCCTGGATGCTGCTTTGTGTGTTGCTGTTGCAACTTCCACAGTTCTTGGGTTTGTCTTTAAAGTTACCTCTTCACATGCTTTAACTTTGCCTTCCTCTTTCCTGTCCTTTTCTTGTAGTAAAAGCAGGTATTTCTTAATGCAATGAGCCTGCAGAGCTAAAGGCAATCATTTGAGTTAGAAAAAGAAAGAGGAGTAAGCTGTTTGAACAGAAGGTTCCAGGTAGGGAGGGAGGGTAAACACAAGTATATTTCCAGAAATCCCTAAATTTTCTGTATATTCACTCCAGTAGTCATGTAGTTTGATGGGAAATATAATGCATAGTTAACTATAGCTGCTATAACTCATCTTCAGCTTCACTCAGCTTAATTTTTCCTTGATGGGGTTGTGTTACAGTTTAGCTTCAAGAAGATAATTAAAAGATTCCCATCATTCCTATGTCTTTAACTTAAAATCTAATCTGACAACCCATCTGAAGAAAGCTAGTTCAAACCTTTGGTTATGCCTCTAGCACATGTAGGCTACTGCTTCTCTTAAAAAGTCTTAGGTTTAGGTCCTTTAGGTCTGAAAAAATGTTTTTCCTGTATCAGGTCTTGTTTCATCTCCCAGGAAGCTGCTGCTTGATTTGAATGCAAAAGTGCAGGCAGGACAAGCGTAGGCAGTCAGGCTTGCAACAACTCACTGAGCCTGAAATCTACCATCTTTTATACAGAAATTAAAACAGTAGGTTTAGAAAAAAAATACAAAAAGCTTGTAATACATATTTCAAGAAGGCTCAGTAGCCAAACTTTTTATTACCTAAAAACCCTTCTTCAAAAAAGTTTAAAACAGTTTGTTAGAGCTGAAGATAATTCATCCTCTCTAATCTCATTTCAGTACTACTGCTGCATGTTGACCTAAAAGGCATTCTGAAACTTTTTTTAAAAGATACAATGTAGTTTTACACCAGCACAGCTGATAATCTCTTTTGTGGCATAAGGGGGCAAGATCTACAGGTCTCTGGTTGTAGTCAAGCTTGGTCCTTGAGTGCAAAACATTTATTCCCACTTTTTAGCATGAAATTTACAGTTTTATATTACACATGAAATTCAGTCTGGACACATAAGAAGGCCTTAGTTGCCCATCTTGCATTATGACAGCTTTCTTAAGTTCCTTTTGACAAAACTGTTGTCTGTTAGTAAAAGCATCCCATAGAAGGTGCTTTAAGCACTAAAACAAAACCTTGTATTCGTCTCGGTAACTGTACAGGATAAGTGCAGGAACCCTGCAGAGGGAAGGAAAAGAGGATTTTTAAACTGCAGGTTCAAAAGCTACAAAACGTGGCAAATCTTAGCAATAAGCTAACAGCAAAGATTCAGTAGAAGAGCAATGAAGTCTTCGTTCCTTTGGCTGTGACTACAATTTTCCCCTCCATTCTCCTTCCATTGATCTAGCCTGTTCAGTTTTCATTCAGTGACCTGAAGGCTTACGGCTAAGCAGTGTTTTGTGTGCAGGCATCAACTGAGAAAGGAAGACTTCGTCAGCAACTGCATTACATTCACACCCAACACTACATGGAATATTATTCACATGTAGTAACTGGGTTCTGTTGCTTACAGCCTTGCAAACCCCAGGAAGTAAAAAAAAAAGTTTCACTGAGGCCATTTTGGTGCATCTCTATAAGAAAAAGGAATCAAAGTAAATAAATTTTTAGTCTCATTTAAAGGTTAAGTAGTACCTTCAAGCTGATCATAGGTTTAAGAAAATGTATTCTAAATGAAATCTACAATAGGACATAATTACCCAGGTCTTGCTTAACTGTGCCAGTACATACAAGGGTTGAAAATTAGAGGCTTAAAACTGGATGTGCCCAGACTATCTGTTTTTGGCCTTGCCAGAATCCACCAAGGAGACTACGAGTTGAACATAAATGTTTTTATGCTTAGAAAACAGAAATGGGCTTTACTGTACATGTTGGGATAGCATGCCTCACGTTTGCTTAAAGCTGGGCAGTCGGTCAGCTGTGCCAGATTCCCACTGCATTCCTTCAAAGCAGGAGGAACTAAATGTGAGTTTTAAAAGGCAAGCCGAGCCCCTCCCATGAGAAAAGAGGGTTACTAAGTAGTAGAGCAGCAGCATACCTGAATGTATATACTTATTTGCTATTCAGTTTTAGGAACAAAGCAGCAAATGAGGTAAGGGCGGGAACACATTTTAGAATTTCTTGAAAAGGGTTATCAAAATGAAGACTTTACATGGCCAAGGATTTACATTTTAGCACAAGTGAGGATTAGATGAGCAGTAAACTCTTCCCATAGTACTCGATGAAGCACACATGTTTCCTGAGTATTTCTTTTTTCCTCAGAGGGAAATGGGAGGACAAAGTAAGAGCAGCTTATTTAGTAAAGTTTGAATGTAGAAATAATTAAAGATGTTTTGTGTACATATAAGAGCTTAACAAATTTACCTCTTTTCCATTTTGATACTATAAATTTCATCACAAATTGCTTGTAAGTATGAACATCTCTGTTTTGGCCATCGTGACATCAGTTGTCTCACAGTAGCATCAAAGGCTTGTCTATCTCCATAAAACTAAGAAACAAAAATTGGCAAGGAACTATGATACAGTTGTACATTCTCTTGAAAGAAATACTTCTAACAGGATTCAGTCTTTTGGATACTATGTAATGCTCCTTAATTAAACGGGTTTCAAACAAAATTCATATAAACAGTATGTGCAAGTTGGTATTTCATTTTTTTTAAAGAAAATGTATTAAGAATTTAGTGATCAGTTTCTTAACATAGATAGGTTAGTGATAAAATGGCATAAGCAATGAAAGGGCTCTATCCATTTTGCAATGCTGGATAGAACATGAGAACTGTGGTGTAAGGGTGGTCAAAAATGAATGATGCAAGCTGATAGTGTGCATTTAAAAAAAAAATTAAAGTAAAAAGTATTAAACTATCTCCATGATTTGGACAGACTGGATGAACTAAATATTTTGAAAGTATTTTCAAATGTTTCACCGGGGTTTGATTACCAGACAAGCACTGCTTCAGAGCAGAAGGTGTAAGGTATGAAAGTACTAAATCCACTTCCAGGCAGGACACCATTCCTGAGTTTGTTTTTTGGGTGAGTGGGGAGGTGTCCATCTCTCTAGTAAGAACTGATTTTAAAGCCACTGCTGTCACTGGAGGAAAGAAAAGAGCTTTGTCTTTGGTGGGTTTTTTCGCCTCATTGAGCAGTTTCTGCGTTGTTAAAGGTGTCAATGTAATACTTATACATTCTCTTTTTCTCTTGGCTTCAGAGATGTTTCAGCTACTCAAAACAATTGCCTCTGTATTTTGGGTCCTCTTTCATTAACAGCTTCAAGAAACACCTTTGTTGAAACTGCTATTAACGCTTACTGGTTTCTGAAAATGAGCAGCAAGACTTAATTTCAGTTAACTGTTCTTGGGGAAAAAAAACCAGAGCTTTGGATTAGGACTTCTGAATAGTGTCCTGTGTAACTCGGGTGTTTGACAAAAAGATTTTTCTAGCCTCAGTCAAGCTGTTTCGGTAAGAAAAATCCTTTTAAGTTTTAAAACCTAATTCAAACTCCTTACAGGAGAAAAACTACAATGGGTGAATTTTACATTCCACTTCATTAGGAACAGAATTTATCATCTATAGTTCAATTAGAGTTTCAATGACAATACTTTATTGCTTACCTCTAATGATAAGAGGTGTATCACAGTTGCTTTTGGCAGATCTACCTGTAATAATACCATCAAAAAAAATCAATACTTAACAGTTCTTTGTTATCAGTTTGCCAAGTACAGATTAGCTACACTGAAGGGAGTCAGACTTTTTGATTTCCAAAGCAGCACACATGCTGATAGAGCTAGGAATTTACCAAGGTTTTAAGTATTTTGAACAAACTGTTCATGACAGATTCCAATACGAAAAGTTCCAAATAGGCATAGGCAAATAGGCAGTATGTTTTCCAAAAAGCATATACCATTTTAAAATCCTCTGTGACATGCTCAGCAAAGTCTAAAAGCTATACACAAACAAAAGCTATGCTGGTTTAAATGTAAGAGCAAATCTAGCAGGAACAGGTTATTAAATCTACCACAATAGTAAGCATAAGTACAGCTACAGAGTTTACAACTAAATACTTGTTTTGTTCTATGCAACTGCCCAATGCACACACAATTTGATATATACTTTTCAAGCATTAAAGAAACATGCCATAGGTCTTATTTAAAAAACAGAAGTTTGTTTCATTTGGTATCTCTAAAGTGATGGTATTGAAAATATTTTGTTCCAGATAGCAACTGCATCATCCAATTCAATTAAGAATTGAAAATTAATTTAGGCTTCTCTCAGATACTTACTGCTAAAATCTCAATCTCACTTGTTTTCTGTTGCAGGCCAGAAATGAATGTCTGAAGTCTTGTTTGCACCTGGCAACAACAAAAATAGGCAAAAGTAAAATATGCTGCTTCTGTGACACATGTTTGGAACACTTATTTTCTATTTCATAGATGATGAGAACAGGAGGCTACTTCTAACACAAGATGTAGAACTACATTATATTTAAACTAAAATTTACATATAATTTTCAATAACAATTCCACAATAATCCTTGATGAATTCACAGGAAGGAGACTGGGACTGAGCCACTCTTGCAGCAGTGGTAATAACTTCATAATACGGGTACTGTACCAAAGCAGATAGAACCTGCACGTTACAATGTGAATTCTCACATACATAGTTAAAGACTGCCTTTCTGTTTCTGGGTGTTTGTTAGATAACTTTTCAGAGGAATGTCAGAACCTGTGACTGGATGCAGTGAATCATCTCTAGCTGAAGAAGGATGACTGATTTGGAAATCAAACCAAAGTATGGGTCATGCCTTGTAACACTTTTTTCCAGAGTGAGCTAGTAATCCTGCACAGCTAGCACTTTACAAATGTAGTTGCAGCCTTGCACTATGTTGCCTTTTGTACCTTCGAAAGATGCTTTTATACATTAAAAACCTGACAACAGCAATTCTGTTTAGCTCAAAGCTCAGAGAATAGCATCCACTTCTTTATTTGGGTTCTGAGAACTATTTATAGGGGGGATTTTTTTGTTGCTGTGGTGGTACATTTCCCCCCGTGTATGTATCTCTTTATATGTCTCTATATCTACATCTCTGTGTGTGTATAATTAGAGAAGTTTATCTAAAGTTTTGAAGTTGTTGTGGTGTTAAGCTTTATGAGAAAGTTATATAATCTAACATTGTGATTTGCCTTAATAGTGAATTTTAAATTGCTGCTATTTTATATAAGATTGTTGCTAAAGTTACACAAAACACAAAATCCTATGTTACATCACCACAGCAAGATCCCCTGCATTTAATTCCTTTAGTCATAAACCGTTGACCAAGTATGGGACTAGGAGTGGATTGAGCTGCACCTATACTGCTCCGAGTAGGAGTTTAGAAAAGAAGGGGGTCCATCCTGAACCATGTGACTCAACGGAAGGGTCTCCATCACTTTCTTTCCC